CTGTACCATTAAAACAATGCAGCACAAGGGAGCCCTAGAATGCAAAAATCATAGGGCAGGCCCCCAAAATGATAAGATTGGCTTAAAAGTCATGAGATTTAAAAATATAAATCTGGGGGGTTCTTTTATCTTCTGAGCACTTAGGGTGCACTCAGTTCACATTTTCAACATTTTCTCTGCAACCATAAATACTAGAAACTTTCATTTTTAAATAAAAGCTGTGATTCTCACGCAATCTCAATCCCAGTAGCTGGGGCTTTAAGAAAAATACCAGATATGGGGAGACTCATCATAAACTTGTGAGAACTGGCAACACAAACTGCTATCAGACAGAAGGTTCTTAAGGGAAAAAAAAAGAAAGTGTTTCAGCCGTGACTGAACTAGGTCAGATCAGGAAAAAGCTTTATTTGCAAAGAAAATACTGACAATTTACATAAACTTACATCCCAGTTTATATACATTATGTATATTTTATATACAGATAGTGTCTTGAATGAAGATGCTGACTCACAGCGCAGCATCACTGTATCACTGTGCAGCTCACACAACAGTAAGATGGGCTCGGAGTTGCTGTATCTTTGACCAAAACTCCTCTGCCATAATATTTTCATTAACGAGCCCGAGTGGAGGTTTGCTGGAAGCAATGATTCATAAACCGTTTACTCAATTAAAGGAAATGACACACAAACCTCATCTTGTAGGGGGTACATTTGTAAAGGTATTCAACAATGGCAACAAAATACATTATTGCTTCCTATTGCAAACTCAAGTGGGTAGAGTATACAATCCAGGAGCCAGAAACACTTATCTGCAGGATGATGGGGGGGTAATAAAAAGGGGGGAGGGACCTTGCTGAATAATGGGACTCAGATTCAGCCTGCAAAAACTAGATGGCTGGCACTGCTTATTCCAAGTCACCAAGGTTTTGTTCCCAATGCTCCCAACAGGCACAGTCTGCTCTCAGAAGAGATAGCTGGAAGAGATGGAGGCACAGAAGAATGAGACCAGTACTACACTGCTATTTGTTTCAACAGTGAGTGAGCTTCTGTATGCAGCAAGTAGTGTTTAGCCTGCAGTCAAACTTATTTGCAGCTTTTCTGCATTCCAAACAGATTTGAAAGCATCTCAGTGAGATGCCTAGCCTGAACACCGCACTTGTGGATAAATCCTCAATTCAGTGGGGTGACCTTTAGGCTACCATAAAATACATAATTGCTTCTCTTTGCTCTAGAAACTTGTGGCAATGCTGCTGTGTGCTGGAGAATAGCAACAGGAGTCTATTTCGGGGCAGGAGGCAATGGGCACTAAAATTGGAAAGACCAGTAAGTAGCTGGACAGCTTTGGAAGCTTGACACTAATTCTCTTCTTCACTGTCTCTCCCAAGAGGGATAAAAGGGCAGAATTGCAGAGATGAGGGGGATCTCCCAACCTGTGATGGCTCCCCCATGGTTGTGAGAAAAACTGAACCATCTAGCTTCATTTGTTCAATTCAGAATGCTTTTCTAAACACAAATGCTGGCACTCTTCCAGCAAAGCATTTTAATTTCTAGTGTTCTTTAAGAGGAACATCGCAGTCTAGTGATGACCAGGCATGACGGTCAGTAGGAGCAGGGCTATTTGAGACCTCAATAGGTTAAAAAGGCAACCTGCTTATCTGTGTAAGAAAGGCACTTGGGGATAGCAAAGGCAGCAGGTCAATCATTCTCTGGTAATCAGCTCACAACTAAAGGCATCTAATGCAGATATTTGCTTCTTTTAACAATGGCCTGACTGTAGCAGCTTTTCCAGTTTCTCTAAAAATTGTCTCCACAGAAAGAGTTTTGGAGGTTTACAATTGTATATTATAAATCAGTAACCATTTGCTACTTTTCTGCAACTGGGGTCCAGCTAGCAATAAAATGACAGTTAAGGCTCACTGGTAAGGGCGGAGGAAGTAGATTGCCACTCAAAGGGAAAAGGCTGAGACACAAACAGGAAGGCAGCAGGGGCTGCATTTGCAGAGCACAGCACTACCCACCAGAATTCCTGATATGCTCGACATTTGTCCATTAACGAAGCACTCACTTTTCTCAACCTGATTAGCAACTGACGCCTGTCAGAAGACATCACAGTGGATGACTGAAGCAAGCCCCTATTTTCCCTAGTATCTTGTTAAACTCTCTCACAGTGCCTCTTTTCGCCCTGCTGACTACAATCTGGTCTCACACTTCTTCTGCTCCACTCCTTTCTTTGCACCATCAGAAAATTAAACAGGGGCCCTGAGATGTCTCAGAAAGAATCCATGCTATAACCTAGGTCGGGGTGGACAAACTTTTTGGCTTGTGTGCCACATTGGGGAATAGAAATTATATGGCGGGCCATGAATGCTCACAAAATTGGGGTTGGGGTGTGGGAGGAAATGAGGACTCTGGTTGGGGGTGCAGATTCTGGGGTGGGGCTGGGGATGAGTTTGGGGTGTAGGAGGGTGCTCTGGGCTGGGACCGAGAGGTTTGGAGAGGGATCAGGGCTGGGGCAGGGGTGCAGGAAGGGGTCAGGTTCCGGCTGGGGGTGCGGGCTCTGCGGTGGGGCTGGGGATGAGAGGTTTGGGGTGCAGAAGGGTGCTCCATGCTGGGATCAAGGGGTTTGGAGAGCGGGAGGGGGATCAGGCCTGGGGCAAGAGGTTGGGGCGTGGGGAGAGGCTTGGGGTGCAGGCTCGGAGCGGCTCCCAGAAGCAGTGACATGTCCCTTCTCCGGCTCCTAGGTGTGGAGCGGCCCCTGACCCTCAAAGCAGGGCCATGCCGCGGCTTCCAGGAGCTGCATGGTGCGGCCCCCGACCCGGTGCCTCAGCTGGAGAGCCGGAGTAGGGCCGAGCTGCATGGTGTGGCCCCCGACCTGCCGCCCCGGCTGAAGTGCCAGAGAGGGGCCGAGCCGCGTGGTGCCATCCCGACCTGGCTCCCTAGCAGCAGCTCGCGGACCGGTTTAAAATGGCTCGCAGGCCGGACCATAGTTTGCCCACCCGGACCTAGGTGAACTTGCAATAAGTTTGTCATTTTAATAATGTAGTCTAATACTCCAGTAATGAGATTTTGCTGCTAGAGAAGCCATTGGGTTTTCATTTATAAAAAGGTTCTTTATGGCTCAATTCACTCTCTCATGTAGTTATATTCACTTATGCCAGTGATGAATATAGCCCTAACAAACTATCAGAGTTCTTCAGGTCATGTGCTCCCCAGTCTCCTGTGCTCGATGCTGTGGAACTCAAGTTATACTGAATTCACCATTTGGTGTAATGCAAAATCAGAAAAGGTGCATTCCACTAACTGAACATACAAGAAATTAAATCTGATGAGGAAGGCGCTATTCTGTTCCTTCCGGAGTCCTTCATTGCTGTTCTATGTACATGCCAGGAGGAGGGCTAGACAGAGATACATGGTGCTCCCACAGTGAGTGTTCTGCCTTTGCACAGATGGAATATTGCTGCTTAGTGGAAGCCTTATCATTCAACTGGGAATCATGGGGCCTAGCAGAATGGGACACAAGAGCATAACTAACTCCATCATGCTCTTCTCTATCATTTCACTACTTTTGCTTGTCCCTAGTCTTGTCGTTTAAGTAGACTGTATTCGAAAATATACTTGTTAATGAGTTGGTTAACAGAGGTTCCCATCACACACATTTCCCAACTTCATTGTTATCAGAAAAATATGTCTTTCCAATTGATTCTGAGGGAAACAAACCGCTGAAAACTAGTTAAATGTCCTAATGCTCATGCTAGTCCAACATGTTGAGGCTGGAAAGGAGGCAGATCATATGAAGAAAAGAGTAATAGGGAATTTGTCATGCACTTATGGCATAACTATACCCCTCCAATGAGTAGTGAGGCCTGAACTCAAAGGCTAGTTCCCCCTATGATGCATTTCTCTCATAGGAATGGCAGTCTTTGGAAGGTGCTTTTCTCCTTACACATTGACATCGCTCATTATGAATGGGGAAGAACAGTGAAGCTAAGGGTACTCTGGGCTGAAGAGTATAGGTTGGAACCTTAGTTGGCCAATCCAATTACTGCCTTTGTGGTGCTGATAGAGGGTCATTTTCAAATGCCAATAGGTTATCGCTGTCAAGTAGCCTTACTGGTAAAGAGGAAGGTAGCACCAGGCTGTCTGTTTAGGATTTTCTTCCAATCTCCAGAAATTCATTTTTATTTTAATATATTGACTGAGCTATCACCCTCCCATATATAATCTGTATTTTGGGGGAAAGCTCTGTTCAAAGATGGCCAGTTTATTTTTTTAAAAGGGTATGATACAGAGGAGTGAATAAAGCCCTTTCCCCTTCCCGACTTCAAGTACAGCTCTTAGATTTAGATCTCACCAGTCAAATGGAAATAGAAGGAAAGAGCTGCTCAGAAAGCCTGAAGAAACACAGTCTTCTAATTTTTCCATTAATGCCTAAAAGGCACATTGGGAATAGAATCAGTCGAGTCCAGAGAAAAGAGAAGTGGGAAGGGTGTGTATGCATTGGACCAAAGTTTTCAGTACAGGTCATGCTAGAAAATAGTGTAATAAGTGGTGATTAACTGTCTTTCTGATAGAGAAGGGCAGACAAGAAATGAAAGATTCTTCACTAGTATAGAAAAAGAATAAAGCACCTAAAACCCAGCACATAATTGCCAATAACACAGAAAAGATTTCTGTTTGCTTGTATATGTTAATCATAAAAATACCCATTTCAGTGGATGCTGCAGAGAGTGAGTGTATGTGTGTGTGTGTGAGAGTGAGTATCCGTGTTTGCAGCATGCTGCACTATGAAGCCTATGTAAATATTTCCTCATATGCAACATGTTAGTTTTGTAAAATCACAAGTTGCTATTGCAACACCACCACTTCCAGGAAGTGCCCATTAGAGCAACTTAAACCTCTAGGCACGTGGCCGGAGCTTAAAAGTACCAGTGGCACTGAAACATCTTGTGGTCATTGCTGCCTAGAGCATCTCAATGCTGGGCTTGCAAAATGCTGAGAGAGTTTTTTATGTGGTATCATTTTATTTTGTGACTATGTTTTAATGCTCATCAAATGCTTATTACATTTGCAGCCTGCTTCCAAGCCTGGTACAGAAGCACTCAACCTACTTATTCTTACAGTCCAGAGGATGAACACCACTGACTAGGGCTCATTCTCACCTTTCACACTGCAATGCCATTGCCCTAAAATAGAATTCTCCCTCGTAGGTGGAGAAACCCCACAGGTTTCTTGCCCTCAGTGTGCAAAGGCAGCAGTGCATGAATGCCTAGAGAGAACAACTCATCAGAAAGTCTGTCTTTTCTTGCCTTCTGCCACTGCCATGGATGCTATAGCTAGTGCAACATAAAAGCAGGAAACCCATATCATTCTCACCACAAATCTCTGGTGAGGACCACAGAGCAGAATATCAGTGCAGTAATACTTGAAACACTGAGGCAAGAAAGGACATGCTAGCCTTTCTTCCTCACAATGCTTTCTCAACTGCCTTTCCAATACAAGTCTCCATGCAAATCACAGGTGACCTTACTCTTCCTGTATCCACGTAAAGAAATAAATAGCTCTGGATCAGTTTTCTTTGTGGCTGGATTATAGAACCCCCTCATATTCTTATGAAAAGCAGCACTGTGCAGTTCTGGGAGACTCCATGTATATGCCAAGTTCATCTAAGATGTTGGTGCGTCTCCTAGCCGTATGGCCCCAAAGAAAGTTGTGTGCTTGCTCATGTTGATGGAGATGTCAGCATGGACCATTTTCACTGCAATCTTCTGCCTGGCTTTGAGGAGGCAGACCCCAGCTGTGTAACAGGTGTTGAAGTTGGTCTTGCCTGTCTCAATACTCCGGGTGCACTGTAGGAATGGCTTTTCATCCACCACCACCTCATAGCTGGCAAAATCTGTGAAGTTTATGTAGTACACCTATGAAGCAGGAGGAAGAAATGGTGTTATGGAGAGGCAGAGGTGTGTTTGTGCACCAGGAAACCACCCACTTCTTGCTGCAAATGTGTTCATGCACGTGCACCTTTCCTCAATTAAACACGGATCACTTCCATAGTCCCTCTATACCTACATCTACAGTGGGCTGGCTCACTCTGAGCAAGCAACACATACAAGACTTTTATATGCATCTCCTACTAACACAAACATGAGGGTGAGCAAGCATTCAAGTATTTGTGAATGGAGGCAAACCCCACAGAAGCAAAGATCTAGGTGAGAATCCTGACAGGGACCAGCACAGCTTTCTCTTTATTAAAAAGGGAACTCAAGTGCTGCTGTAAAATAAAATATATTTAAAATATGCCACTAACAGAAAACTACAACCAGACTTAACCATTACAAATAGCTTCTCCTTTTAAAAGAGCCTATTTTAAGCTCAGGTCCTCCTTGACCTATCTGCCAAGTCTAGTTTTCAGGATCCCACAGCCCCCTATAACCTGCCATTAATAATGCTCTAGGATGAACTATCTGAGGTGCTTTCAAAGTCATCTGCTATTATAGGGGACACACAGACTCTTGAGCTCAGGCCTGGGCAGGTAAATGAAAGGGGAAATGGTCTTCAAATACTTGGATTGAATGTATAATATTAATAGACCTGCTATTTTTAAGTCCACCCAGCAATTCTGGGTTGATTCAGGACATTTCAGTTTTAACCTTGTTTTATTTTTATTTTCCTGCAAAAGCTGTTCCACTCCCTTTAAAACATTGATACTGAAGAACTGAAGGATGTATGGTAGAAGTCTGTATGGGGAGTGGTGATCTCAGAGGACAATGGCAGGACTCATCCATCCTGGAGGCAATGGGTATTTGTTAGTTTTCCATAGTCTGTGGACTTTCACTGAGTTGTATTCCATCCTGCTGATGTACAGCTGAAAGGAAATCCCATCACTGCACAGAAACTGCCCAATAGAAGCTCATCTCCTCCTCACTGCTAGCATATTGCCCCAAACAAAGAAAAAAGTTAGCTCTACTTTTTCACAGGACAAAGTCTTCAGTGCTGAAATGCTGTTGCCAGCAATTGTCAGTGTGAGTTTAAGGGAACAATTTTACTCCAATTTGCCGCCTATATATTGGTGCACAGCTCCATGGAAGAGACTCTAAGATTAACTCATTGATGTCTGGAGTCTGCATTGCCTGCCTTGGAACTGTTACTTGCAGACAGACAAGTCATAAGAAGATGCAGTTGATACCATAAGTCTGGAGTAACGCTATTTTAATTATGAAGCCTCATGGAAGCCCTTTTGCCAGTTGCAGAGATTCTAAAATCTGTTCCAATATCTATATAGCTGTTCTCTGCAGAGGTCAATGCAGACCCTATGGAGGGACTGGGATGGAGTTTAGAAGCTCTGCAGCTGCCTTATTTCCTGTGGAGTTCAGAAGCTCCAGGATATGGGTTATCAGAATATCGAGACATCCCAATTAAACAATCCTTCTCCTGAATAACACTTGGGTGGAGGAAACAGTTCTCTGGGAGATGCCATGTTAAGAAGTGTACTGTATAATCATAATCATCATCAGCCTCTATTTACACAGCACTTTGCATCCTGGTGGATTCCAAAGCCCTTTACAGACTACATACATACATACACTGCACTCATCTCTGGAGTGAACTGCAGCAGCAGTTTTACAGCACACAGCCATGCTACACAATGATTTTGGAAGAGTATTGTATCCATTTAAAACCACAGGAGGAAATTGGGAGGCGGAATGGAATTACCTAACTTGGAATTTGGCCAGGACAGCAGGGCTAACAGTCCTACATTTATAAACGGTGACATGGGATCTTAAATTATCATAAGTAGTCAGGACTTTGGTTTTATATATCCCTTAAAAGACAGCACCTCCAGCAGCAAAGTGACCTCTAGCTTCCTTCTGGGCTTGTTGTTCAGTACTGACTTGGGATGTGAGTAACTGCACAATAGAATGTATGGAGAAAAAACCAGCAGGATTTATGGCACATGGAATTTTGTATTGAGTCTGCATGTATGCTCAGTAACTAATCCCTTGTAGCTTGTATTATGGTATAATACATGACCTTGCACTCCCAAAGATTTTACATCTTCCTCCTCTACTCACATCCTACAACATGAAATGGTTCAGAGCACATACAAGTTCCTGGCCTTTGCTGGCTCTCTGGAGCCCCCTTGTGGTTCATGCAAGGCTTTGCATTTTGAATACAGGAATAGGAGTTAGGCCTAGGACCGTACTCACTTCTACCTGACTATAGATGAAGTATGTGCCGTCCACCAGTACCTCCAGCTCCCCACTGCGTGCATGCAGCTTAAACACCTTGGGGTTCATAATGATGCGAGACCAGTCATTGAGCACTCCACCTGAAAGATCTCAGTATGAGAAAATGGCAGTCACTCAGTACCCGTCAGAATGAAAAGCGCAGTAGCAATACAAACACAACTACAGATTACAGATATCTTACATATAAAATAAAAGAATACTAAAGTTGCGAAGTCAAGCACTCAAAGTTAGGAAATGCCAAAATTAAGAATGCCAGTAGATTAATTCAGCCCCCTTCTGTGAAAGCCTTATGATACTGTCTTTAATTTCATGTTATACTATTTCTTGCACAAGCATCCTGCCTCATTCAGTGTAACAGGTGGATGGTGCTCACTGAATGGTAGATATTCAATATTTCTTTTCAGCATTCAGTATTTGGCCCTAGGCCTCATTTACTAAACATCATTAATAGTTTGGACTGAATACAGAATGATTATTTCCTCCTGGGTGTGTCTGTGGAACGCTCACCATAATCTGGGTGCTTCACAGACATTAATTAATTTATTCTGACAACACTCCTATGAGGAGAGGTACTATTATTATCCCCATTTTAGAGGTAGGAAACTGAAGCACAGAAAGAATAAGGCCAAAATTGTCAAATGTCCACTAATTTTGGGTGCCCAACTTGAGACATCTAAGGCCTGATTTTTCAGCGTACTTCACATTTACATAGCACTTTATGTATTCAAAGAACAACTCCCATTGACTTCAACTGCAGTTCTGAGAATTCTGCACTTCTGTAACTCAGGCTCCAGGTGTCTCATGTTGGGCACCTGGAGAATAAAGGAACATACAATTAGTGGCCTCCTGTGAGAAGTTTGGTATAAGTGACTTACTTAACATCACATAGGAACTCTGTGGCGGAGACAGGTAGAATTCTATTCTCCAGGGCAGCATTCAATTGCCTTTACCATGAGACCATCTTTTTTCTTTCTGCAACCTCCTGCCTCATTCCCTGCAGAATTTCTAACTTCTTTAACAAATGAGGTAAAGTCCTATAGATAACAGCCTAATTCATTACACAACCCTGATTCATCCCCAGAGGAGGTACATCCTATGCATGAATGAAGTGAGGTCATGTGGGAAGAATAGTATGTGATCCTGTAACTAAAGGCGGTCTCATAAATGCATATGCACAAGGGGGTCAAATTAAGTTTGCATGGGCAACCTTGATTCTGTCATTTCCTAACTTTTGAATGCTTGACTTTGCAACCTTAACATTCTTTTAACATGGTTTCTTTGTATGTAATTTTCTAGATTAAAAAAAAAATCAAAATAAAAACAAGAATTTCATCATGTGGTACTATACTGTCTAAAACTTGAGTCTTTAATGAGGCTGGAACCTTTAGAACTATAACACAGACCTCTACCACTAGACCTAATGGAGTAATTGGTAGCAGTAGTAGACTGTTATCCTCTATATGAGCCAGCCACTAGATGGGGATGAGACACACACTTTGCTGGTTCTTTTCACAGCTATTTGCTGACAGCAGGGGACTGTTGGGATCCACGAATACTGTTTCAACTTACAGGTTCTGTGGGGGAATGTGCTCTAGTGGTTATAGACGGTTCTACCCAGTTCTCCCATGCCTAATTCTTTTGTCCCAGTCTCTCTCTGCTCCTATCCCTTCCCCACCAAACCTGCCTTTCCCTTCTTCTTCTGTCTACATTCAAGGCAGTGTTTCTTCCTTCTCCTCAAGGCTGCTGGGTGGCAGCGGGGGAACCTCTGAGAATGCAGGAGTGAATCTACTTTGCTCTCACTTTTGGTGCCAGGCACATTAGCTTCCAGAAGCTGGGAGGAACAATTGCAGGGTAATTCCTATTAATAAGTTCTATGGGAATGGAGCATGCTCACTGTGGTTGCCATGGAGCTCTGTGGTGATGGAGCATGCTCAGTACAGATGGAATGTTCAGAGCATTTTACTGCCAAATGTGCATACTTCTACTGAGAATGTACAAACAGTAATTTTCAAAGGCTTATAATTTGGTGAAATTTGGATGCACCAAAGGGGATCTCTCTTGACCTGTGGGTGACCCACTTGCCGTATTTCAAGTCCCTGCTTGAAAGCAGGAACCTCTCAATTAAAGTTGCAAACATTAAAAAAAAACAACCACCACATGCAAAACAATGTGTTCTCCCCTAATATAATTATCAGAAATAGCTGTAACATTGCTCTGAAACTTCAGAAAAAGTTCAGCCTGAGGTAGACACTTGGCATGAGAACTTTAGCACCAATGGTTAAAGTCTGGCAATGTTATAAAGAAATGAAAATACACTCTTTCAATGGATAGTATGGAGCAGCCTTAACTATAAACATTGCTGTCAGCTCTACCTATATTAGCTAAGAGGCAGTAAGGGGCACCCACTTCCCCTCTCCCTCCTCACTACCTCCCATGCAGCCCTCAGAGCACTCTGCAGCAGCCTCCTATGTGTGAATGGAGAGCATGCGGAGCTGTAGCTACTCTGTGTGTCCTCAGTTGGCCTTGCTTAAATCAACCTCTGTACGAGATGACTGGCAGACTGCTAATGTGATGCTGATTTTTTAAAAAAGGCTCCAAAGGTGATCCTGGCAATTGCAGGCCAGTAAGTCTAACTTTAGTACCAGGCAAACTGTAGTTTAAACTACAATAGTTTAAACTACAATAAAGAACAGAATTATAGAATATTAGGGTTGGAAGGGACCTCAGCTAGTCCAACCCCCTGCTCAAAGCAGGACCAATCCCCAGACAGATTTTTGCCCCAGATCCCTAAATAGCCTCCTCAAGGATTGAACTCACAATCCTGAGTTTAACAGGCCAATGCTCAAACCACTGAGCTATCAGGCACATGGAAAAACACAATTTGTTGGGGGAAGAGTCAACAACACAGCCTTTGGGAAATCATGCCTCATTGATCAATAGAATTCTTTGAAGGTGTCAACAAACATGTGGACAAGGGAGATCCAGTGGATATAGTGTGCCTGGACTTTCAGAAAGCCTTTGACAAGGTCCCTCACCAAAAGCTCTTAAGCCAAGTAAGGAGTCATGGGAGAAGAGGGAAGGTCCTCTGATGGATCAGTAACAGGTTAACAGACAGAAAACAGAACATAGGATTAAACGTTCAGTTTTCACAGTGGAGAGAGGTAAATAGCTGGGACTCCCAAAGATCTGTACTGGGACCAGTGCTGTACAACACATTCATAGATGAGCTGGAAAAAGGGGTAAACAGTGAGGTGGCAAAATTTGCAGATACAAAATTACTCAGATAGTTAAGTTCAAAGCAGACTTCAAAGAGTTACAAAGGGATGTTACAAAACTGGGTAACTGGGCAACAAAATGGCAGATAAAATTCAATGTTGATAAATGCAAAGTTATGCACACCGGAAAACATAATCTCAACTATACATAGAAAATGATGGGGTCTAAATTAGCTGTTACCACTCAAGAAAGAGATCTTGGAGTCATTGTGGATAGCTCTCTGAAAACATCTACTCAATGTGCATCAGCAGTCAAAAAACCTAACAGAATTTCAGGAACCATTAGGAAAGAGGGAAACAGAAAATTTCATAATGCCAGTTTATAAATCCATGGTAAGCTCACGCCTTGAATACTGCATGTAGTTCTAGTTACCCCATCTCAAAAGAGATATTAGAATTGGAAAAAGTACAGAGAAAGGCAACAAAAATGATTAGGGGTATGGAATAGATTAAAATGACTGGGACTAATCATCCTGGAAAAGAAATGACTGAGCGGGGATATGATAGAGGTCTATAAAATCGTGACTGGTGTGGAGAAAGTAAATAAGGAAGTGTTATTTACTTCTTCTCATAACACAAGAACTTGGGTCACCCAATGAAATTAATAGGCAGCAGGATTAAAACAAACAAAAGGAAGTATTTCTTTACACAATGCACAGTCAACCTGTGGAATTTATTGCCATGGGATGTTGTGAAGGCCAAAAGTGTAACTGGGTTCAAAACAGACTTAGATAAATTCATGGATGACAGGTTCATCAATGGCTATTAGCCGAGATGATCAGAGATGCAACCCCATGGTCCGGGTGTCCCTAAACCTCTAATTGCTAGAAGCTGGGATTGAATGACAGGGGATGGATCACTCGATAAATTGCTCTGTTCTGTTCACTGCCACTGAAGCATCTGGCACTAGCTGCTGTTGGAAGACAGGATATTGGGCTAGATGGACCATTGATCTGACCCAGGATGGTCATTCTTATGTTCTTATGAGTGTCTTGGGATACTACATGGGAAATATGATCAGTGTTCCAGTGATTTGGCTTGGGTCGAGGCAGGGGAGCACTTATCACAGAATTTCTCCCCTTCCAACACAACCACAAGAGTTGAACCACAGGGAGAAAGGAGGCATCTGATGAATCTTGTGACCCTCCTATGGGCAGAGAGAAAAAAAACCTTCATGTAAATTGGAGAGGGACATAGGATCAGTTTTCAGGGGGAAGAGAGCATAAGCTCAATTTTACTGCAGGATCAAAATTACTGGAGGAAACAGCAACACATACAGGATCAGTTTTACCGGCAGAGGAGAACACAAGGTCAAATTTGCTGAAGATGAGTAGAGGGAGAAAGGGTCAATTTGCTAGGTAAGTTGATGAAAAAAGATTTAGTAAGTTTTGGGGAAGAAAAGAACATCAACTGGTTGGATGGGAGGATCAACTGGCTGAGGGATGGGTACTTAGGATAGATAGAGCTGGACTGAAGTGCTTGATAGATTGGAGGTCAGAGATTTGGGGAAGCTGAGGTGAAAGTGAAGCGTGTGGGTAGAGATTTCATTTGGAATCTAGGGGGTTAGAAGAGTAGAAAAGTCCACTGATTGGGAACTTTGGGAAGGGAACAGAGAATTGATAGGGACAGAGAATGTATTGATGAGACTGGGAGCTATAGAACGGAGTAGGGTGCTAGTGGACAGAGGATGGATTGCTGAAAAATGGAGGCAGGCATAGGATACATTCAGGACTGAAGGGAGGGCAGAAGATAGACTGGGGAAGAGGACTGGTTAGTCTGTGGAGGGGAGAATGGGGACTGATTGTTCAGTTGGTTTGAGGAGGCAGATAATCTATTTGGAGGTCAGCAAGTGGGCAGACGATGGACTGGGACAGAGAATTATTTGGTGAGACTTGTGTGTTTTAGGATAGTGGAGAAGAGGATGGATGAGGCATAAAAGATAGTTGGACTGATGGGGCTGGAGGCAGCAGAAAACCTCCCTAAGTGACAGTAAGACTAACAGAGGACCATATTGAGAAGACCATGAGTTGAATTAGTGTCTCATACGATGCAGTATATTGCATAGAGAGCCCAGCTACGAAATTGAGGGTGCAGGATAGGACCCTTTTAGTGGTTGACAATCTCTTGTCATTCTTACCATTCTTTACTTGAATTGCTGACCCTTGGCCCTGGAGATGAACCACAGCTGGCTGCAAATAAGAGTACAGCAAGTTAAAATTATCCAGATGCACTGCTTTATTCTACTAAATAACCTTATTTATCTCTCTGTGGAATTGATGATCAGGATATAAAGTTCAAAGTAGTCATTGCAGACCTCCAGAATATTGCTGGCTGTGCACAACTAGGCAAGAGGACTCATTATTATTTTCTTTGTGTCAATGTGGATTTGAGTGCATTCATTTATATTTAAAGAGTACAATTCATACAGTCTTTACCTTTTCCATTTGAAATTCCTTGTACATCAGGAACGCTTTTTGTAAATGATGGAGTGGGTTAAAATAAACCAATGACAAGAGATTTTTTTAAGGTATTTTAAGAAGGTGAGAAAAGGTAGCAAACTGTTCAGTAAGCAGCAAATCAAGTGCTTCCTCTGGCATTTCCAATGGTAAAGGTGATTCTGGTCATTTCTTTTGGTATTTATGTGAGTGTAACAACCATTTAGCACAAGATGTTCATTTATTCAGGAAAGTTACCACAAAATGGACATTTAGAAAATGTACCCTTGTAAAATTAAAAAAAAAAATCTAGCCAGCTCAACTGACATTTCCCCCCAAGACAGAATCAACCAACCTGTGTCTCCCTGGAGCCAGCTTTGTCTGCGGCACCTGCAAAATATAATATCCACAAAATAAAGATGGCACTTGAGAAACTTCTGCAAAATCAGATGGAGCAGATCTCCTGTCTACTGAGTAAAAAAACAGGGGTTTTCCTAACATCTTCAGTGGGAAGGAAGAAAGACAATGAGTGACATTGAGCTTAACAATTAACAGGTCTCTAAACTGGAAATGCTGCATTCCATCTTTCCTCTTGGTTTGCAATTTTATCTGACAAATCATGAGTCCCCAAACTTTATTTAACCTGTTTTCATTAAATAGAACGAATTGCAGCAACCCTCATCTTGATTATGGGGGTGCATCCTCCAAAGACTACAGGTTCCATACTGCAATGCTCCAGTTCATTCTGGGCAGCCAGACCACACAATGGGACGGACCTGTTATCTTTGTGACACAGATCTCTTTAATAAAGATAAGGGTCGCTGTGGACTGCACTGTAGAAGAACTAAGGATTGCAAGTTGCCTATGAGCTGCATTTTGGCCACTCCTAGTATACAGACTGAAAGCCAGTCAGTTTTCTCTGAAAGCCCCATTAGGGAAAGGGTAATAAACCTTGTCTGTCTTCAGGAAGGAAGTTTCAGTGTTCTGTTATCTCAGAAAATGAATTAAAACAATATATAGGGAGAGTGAAGTGAAAATGGGAAGTGCAGGAAAAAATATTTTCATGTGAACCAGGTGAGAGGCAAACAAACTTGCTGCCTGGGACTACTCTGAGACTAACTTAACAATTGTCTCAGACAGCAGCTTTTCTGATCCAGTCATGTCCTTCCCAATGGTTTACCACATCAGATATGTGGATTAGGACAGATTAGCTTGTTGACCAATATTACAAGCAGGGCAGCCTCAAACCAATCCATCTGACAACTCATACATAGGAGTTACAGCTGATTGTAGACTTCAGTACCAATGAAATTCAGGCTCACTGGGAGGTTAATGGGAACAAATACTTTGACAGCTTCAGAGAGAATGCTTAGAAATCTGCAAAGTGCTTTACAGACAAAAATGAAGCTTCAGCACCCCCTGGAGGTAGACAAGTGTTACACTCATTTTACAAATTGAGAAATTGAGGCAAAGAGAAAGGAAATGACTTAAGACCTTACAGGGAACTGAAGTAACAGTACCCAGTTTTTCAGTCCCATGCTTCAACCACTAGACAATGCTGCTTCTCAAAGAGAGACAGAAGTAACTGATAACACATAGCTATATGTAGATATTAATCTAGTTTCCTTTGGCTGCTCTATTTAGCCATAGTGCTAGTCCCATAGCAGGTCATGTCAGGATACTAGCTCCTGGCAGTTCACTGCTACTCTCACCCAGTGGAATGACTATGGATGGGGCATTTAAGTAGCATTTTTTTTCTTGCAAATAGAACAAACGTAAACAGTGTGGAACCTATAGCAAACCAGAACAACCACATGATCCTCTTGCCTTCATTGTTTGTTATCACTCACTGTGTTATGTCGAAACGTAGTCTAAGTTCTTTGGGGCAGGGATCAGGTCTTATTTGTCTGTGAAAGGCCAGGCTTATCTATGCACTGCACAGTACTAGTTAGTGGAGCAGCACTAGTTAGGCTAGCTGGGGCAGACATAGTAGCCCATCTCCAAGCTGTCCCGCTGAGCTGGTAAGGACAAAGAGGGTTTTTAACCTCTTTTTTCTCCCTCTCCAGTTCTAGTTTGGAGTACTAGTGTCTGCATCCTGATGAGAGACTGTACATGGCACTTAGAAAATGAACCTTCTAATACTGTTATAATAACAGTGCAGCCCCACTGCCTCAGGTTAGAACTGAAGGAGAGGTCTCTGGGTAGGTTCTATTCAGTTTTTATGCCACTCCCATCACCATGGTATTTCCCCTCATCACTGTGGTCTGCAAAGCATCTGTCCAATTAGGATTTAAATAAACACCTACCTGAAGGGCCCTGAAGCCCAGGTGGTCCCTGGGGGCCAGGAGGACCAGGAGGACCAGGAGGTCCCATTACAGTTGTGCCTGGAATTCCAGGGATCCCTGGGATTCCTGGGGGGCCCTGGGGTCCAGGAGGTCCTGGTGGCCCTTGAGGACCATTGGGTCCTGGAGGACCAGCCTTTTTACCTGAAAAACACAAGATAGTGTGTTAGGCCCTCTGCCTACTGAGCGTGGCACTAAAAAGCTCTGAGTTGGCTTCCCTGTACCCTCCCATAAGAGAACAGCAGGTAGCTTCCTAGTGAGTGAGAAAAAGGAAGAGCCAGGATCATGTTCTCACATTCTATTCCAGCAGTCAGCCATGTTGGAGCTGGTGAGAGATAAGCTAAAAGCGTGATCAAACAGCTAGCTCAGATTTTGTGATTCAGCCCAGAATGTGATGTTATTGTGTGAGAAAATCTGGATCAGATGACAGATAGTGACCAATGGTTGGCCTTTTCATCAGGTGATTGCACTAGCCCTTGTTGGGTAGAAGAAGGTGGGTTCAGCAGGGCTTACAATATGAAGAGAGAAATTGAACATGAAGGAAGCAGGTCCCTTATCGGACAAATTCCTTGAGATGTATATAAATATTTTTAATTAGGACTAAACATTCTACAAGGCTGTTCTGTAATCTAGACTGAAGAGGAAAGAGGGAATCTATTGTCCTGGAGCAAGAATCCTCAGACAAACATGGAGCTGAACCTTCGATCATAAAGATCCAGTTCATCTGCCTGCTTGGAAATCCTGTTGTATTGTGTTCATATGTGGGACATGCACTGAGCATAAAATTTGGGTGCTCTAGATTTGCAGTTTTGCTCTGGAAAGGCAGGCTGGTTGACTAGGGTACATTTGGAAAAAATATATAGGCTTCAAAATACTTCCTTGAAGAACATGGTCCAAATAGCCCATCCACAGTCTGGGGGCACTGCATGGAGAAGAAGCTCCTTTGATCATTTAGGGATAAGAGAACAGAGAGCACTTTCTGGGCTCTCCAAGCACCCCCTGAACCTAAGTGGGCCACTTCCCCGCATAATAACAGCCTTCTCCTGATGCCTGCTAATGTAGTTAGCCCTATAGCTCAAGACCTGCTAAGGACTCATCTAGATTTATACCCCCCAAAATTGCATGTGTGTGTGGTGGTTGTTACAGTTGTACATAATATAACTTGTGTTTAAGTTTTTTAAAACATAGGAAATTACATTGCCCGTTGAACCTTAATTCAGTCTCTTTGTGCACATGTAGAGGTGACTGAACTTCAAAATTTCCAATCTGAGGGAAATTAAGAGATTTCAAAATTTGATTTTGTCCCAAATCAGGACAAAAAGTCACAATCTCAAAATTTTTCGTGAAACAAAATATTCTTACAATAGTTTGTTTCAATAAGGTCAAAACATTTTGATGATAAAATTATAACATGAAAGTCAAAATGACAAAGTCAAAATTAAACATTTAGATAATTTCCTATGAAAATTCTAATTAAAATTCTGTGAAATGTTTCAATTTAATTAAATCAGTGTTGTGTCATGAAATTTTTGACCAGCTCTATTTTTTCCCACAGGACCTATGTCTCATTCACTGCACAAGCTGGATGTGCTCTGGGGATGAACGAGGCTGACTGTAGGTTCCTGCTTCATTTGTTGCAGAAGTTGAAGGGTGTGCAGTGAATAAGGTAGGGGATTGGAAGGAGAGAGGAGATGGTCTTGTGATTAAGGCAGATGAATGCCAAACTAAATTCCATCCACAGTCTTCCTATGTGATACTGAGTAAGTCACTTAAACCAAAAGTCTGGCATGTGGCTGCTAGTTAGTTGCATATCCCTCATTTTCTGAGTGTCCAACTTGAGACATCTGGGGGCTCGATGTACAGAAAAATGGAACACACACAATTACAAGTCAAGTCAACAGGAGCTATGGATACTCAATAACTCTTCCAGTAAGGTAGTGTGGTCTATAGGAAGGAGCAGCGGGTTGGGAATCAAGCTAGCCTGAGTTCTAATCCTTGCTCTACCACTGATTCACTGTGTGGCCTCAGGTAAGTCTTTTCCCCCTCAGTTTCCCCATCTATAAAATAGGGATAATAATGCTCTCTAATACTGCACTGGAGATAAATTCATGAATGTTTGCCAGGCATTCAGATACTATTGTAATAAGTGCTTTAGAAAAAAGACTGAGGCAATGAATAATTTAGTATTAGTTGCAGGCTTTGGAAGATGTGCAGTAAACAAGGCAAGGGCTACTAGCAGCATGATGAGGATACCAATATTGAACAGCTGTCTCATTCCCTGAGCACTGTCCAGCCTGCACGTTGGATGAGGCAGTGGTTGCAATAAAATAAAAAGGGAATAAGTAAAAAACATCAGAATGCATATGTACAAGGGGACCTAACTATGGCTGTCTGTGCAACTTTAATTCTGGCATTTCCTAACTTTTCAGAGTTTGATGTAAACAATTTTCTTTTAATGAAGTTTAAAAAAAAACTTATATTTTTATAACAACTCTTATTTTAAAGAGCATTACAAGCTTATAGGAATCTCTTTACCCACCAAGGAAATACAGCCATCTCTGGGATAGAATATAAACAACTGTTAATCAGACCACAACAGTAGTTTAGGACAGGAAATAAAAAGACCACTAGAATTGTTTCTAAGGAAGTTACTGCACTTCTGTCTATCTATGTCATGGTGCAAAATTAAATAATCTCATTATTTTTGGTGAGCACAAAGTTGGAAGGGCTTCCCCCCTTTGGTATGTTCTAAGCACACACCACTGCCTAGCAGTTAACAAGGATGCCTAGAATCAGAGCTGCTGTGCTATCTACCTACAACTGATCACACTGCCTTTCCTGAGTTGTTTGATGGAACATGCAGGTTTTTTTCTTTCATTAGGTGGCGCAAAAGTTCATTTCTTGTCTCTATCTGAAATGGAAGTTAGACAGTCACCACTCCTTGTACATGTTAGGATACAGAACTGAGAGCTGACTACTTTTATGAAATACTAGAATTCTCTCATTCTCTCCCCCATGTTCCCTGGGCCTGCTCTTCTATTTTGAGTTATAAGAAAAGGTACATGTCTTAAGAGGGTGGGCAGAAGTTGTAAAAGCAGACAAAGTATATTGTTGGTAGTATCTCTGTCCCAATTAGCATGCATGCCTCTTCCAATCTGAGCTGGCAGGTGGTTGAGTACTCTTTCAATCCCCAAGCTCTCCTCCCCTATAGGATAATTACACATTTTTGAAATTATTACTTTGAATCAAAATTCAAATCCTTACACATCTCCCATAAAGCATTTTTATTAAATTCCTTTGATTTATATCATTCTCTATCCTAGACTACCTTAATACAGGATCAAATGTGCACTTAAGCCAGATTCACTGCTGTCTGTCCTTGCTCTGCCTTGGGAATCAAGATGGAATACACACTACAGCTGTTTTAACTAAATCCTGCCCCAGAGGGCTATTTTGCTACTTCAGGTGTAAAACAATTACCTGTAATTCTGATGCAACACATGAGCACATGGTGCATCAAGTTATTTAAATGAATTTTCCACTATGCAGTGAATCTGACTTGCTAACCCACAAAGTAGAAACAGAGCTGTACAGTAAATAGTGAGGCGATCAGTCCAGAGCTGAAGAGATGTATAAGAATTGCTGTATCTGGAAGATGGGTAATAACTTTCTTCAAATTTGGTAAAAAGAGCAAGCAGGCAACTTGTGGAGGATGATGAGGTACTTAGTTGCCCTATCTCCACCACAAAACATGTTACATAAATCACTTTCTTGGGCAGCATTCCACCCATACTTGAAACCCTTTGCCCACAGGAAATGAGCCAGAGTTATTGAGAAAGAGTGAGCGAGCATGAACGCATGTATGCTTGAAACTGTGTATATAAAACAAGGGAAGAAATCACAACATGGAAATGTGTTGGCATATCCTCTCAAAAAACTCCTGAAAGTATTCAGTATTTGACTGTGAGCCAAAAGAGAAAGCGGATACTTATGGTTAAGTAGATGGCATCTGCATGGCTCCTGCATAGCAGACGATGCCTTGCGTAGAGTTGCCACAACCATAAATCTAGCTAGATTTCACAGGGTCCTCATGCGATCACCAACACCGCCACAGAAGAGCTTTATAGAGCGTGCTTTGATTATCTGATTCCCAGCTTGCCAACTCTGTCTTCAGGCAGTATGCAGACACTTCCTTTCTTAAAAGCAGGGGGAATTGAGACTTTTTCTGTTTTAGGTCATGCCAACCAACGAACAATCACTGTTTTTGCAAAATATGGCAGCACCACAGAAACTGAAAAATATTGATTAATACAGTACTACCATTTTTTCCTCTGCTGCGCCAAAGCAGTTAAAATGTCATAATTATAACTTCCTATGAGGCCTCTAGTTCTACTGATCCTAGATGAGAGGGATTAAGTTTTCAGATTTTTTTTTAAAACTAGGTCTTTAGAAAATATAATATTTAGGGCGCCTTTCCTAGAAAACATAGACAGAGTTCTCAACTGTAGCCAGCATCAGCCACAGTTTCAGATTGTTTGTCCACAATGATAGGGAGGTGGAGCCTTGTGGCGGGTGGGGACTAAGGCCCACCTCAGCCCCATACTGGGAAGAGGCTGGCGCTGCCCTGAGCCTCAGGCAGGCATGAAGCGGTGCCAGAGGGAATCCGGGACAAATGCTGTCCCAAAGTCATTCAGCCCAGGACCGGGACTAGAAATATACATTTTGAGACTGTCCCACCCAATTAGGGACGGGTGGTCTCCCTATTTTAAGCACATGCTTACCTCAGTTCTTATTCAGCAAACACTTACACATATGTTTAACATTAAGGACACGTATAAGTTCTTTGGTGAACAGGGATGGACTTAAGCATATGCTTAACTTAAATGCATGAATAATGCTTTGCTGAATCATATCCTAGACCAGTACTGCACTATCTTTGAAGCATGTGGGCTACATCTGGAGGAATGCAAGCACTGCACACAGCAATTTTTTTCCAAACTTACAATGTTCTGTAAATGTACACAAGAGTTTACAGAATACACAAAAAGGATACTTCAAGGATTGCAAAGGAAAGAGTAACAGTAGGTAGGCTGCAAAGAGTCCTGTGGCACCTTATAGACTAACAGACATATAGGAGCATGAGCTTTCGTGGGTGAATACCCACTTCTTCAGATGCCGAAGTAGGTCGGCTGGCACTGCTTCTTTGAAACCAGTTTCCTGACATCAGACCTTTGAGAGGGAGTCTGGTAGGCAACTGAGGTGTTTTGATTTGTTAGATTCCTAACAAAAAGTCTGTGCAGAAACATAAATACTTCAAAAGAGGGCTGCAAAATAGCAGCTCTCAGGTACTAAATACCACTGCAGCTCAACTGGGCTAACACGCTAAATTATCTAATTAATATAAAATAAACTCATTAATAAGCACTTTTAAAATATATTACTGAACATTTTGAACAGCTTGAAGGATGTGGTATTAGAGTCTGATCCAAAGCCCTAAAGTCAATGGACTTTGGCTCATATCACTAAAGACATGCTTGCTAAAAAGTTAGGCTTATTGCCAACTAAACTTTAAGAATCAGAGATGATGATGAAAATCATTTTAGTGAAAATGACATGATGAAGGACAAGCAACCAATGACAGGTTAGCCCATGACCCAGCCAACTGCATTTACAAATATGAAAGCTTGGGAATTATTGGTATACTATGCAGCTAATTACAACTCCATCCCCTACACTGCCTCCTCTGAATACTGATGTGCCAGCTCTTAGGGGGGGAAATTAGTAAATGCCTATCTTTCTAAACATGAACCTGCTCAATGATGCAATCACTACAACAGAAGTGGAAAATTATATATATGAGGCAAGGTATACCTAGACTGATAAGAGTAAAAATGCCACTTGTCCGGTATTCATATTCATCAGAGAAAGTTCACAGCCAAAAGTAGCTTCTCATTTGCTAGAGAGAAGTCATTGCAGTGAGCAAGTAAATTAAATTAGATTTTTAACTTACCCTTTTTCTTGTTTTTAACTGAACTTGGACCTACAAAGAGAAAAGAAAGATACTGAATTCACAGTAAGCATTCCCTCTATAACAAAAAACCAAGGAAGGTGGCTGGAATGTGATTCAGCGCAAAAACAAAATAGCAAGGTAAGCCAATGCTGTGGTAAGCCAATGCTGATCTGTTAAACCCAGGCACTTATGTGAAATCTTCCTACTGTGTTGCGTCATCTCAAACTGATGATCTGTAAACTATGATGGTTGATATCAGAACTCAGTATAGTGAATTTTGGTGAAAATTTCTAACAGAATTTCTCTTTTCCTTTTACCATCTGTTTCTGGACTACAGCAATTTTATGATGGAAAATACTTTTCATCCCTGGAGTCATGGTTCTATTAACACATATAGACAAATTTTCACCTCAACCTCTAAACTGCCCACAATTTTGCACATAGGTTTTAATCATGCATCTCCATGTGCATGCAAAAATTTGGTACACAAAACTGCAAGTACAACTGTTGAAGTTTGGTTGAAGCTCTTTAAAAAATGTGACAGATAAGTTTAATTTTTAAGTGCTCCCTCTCAGAATGAATTTGGTCATCACTATAACTGCATAGTCATAATGTATTCATTTATGACCCATGTGCGTGACATATGAATTGCCATTGTAATTTAATTTAACGTAATGGACACTTAAAGGGAGTGTCAACATTTTCAGCTGTCAGTAAGATCAGAGGATTAATTTCTCACGAATGACTTCGTAAAGAAAACAACCCTAAGAACTCCTTTGAACTTATACGTTCAAGAACTTTCACCTAGTCAGGTATGTAAGTGTTGGCCTGATTCTTAAACACCATCTTGCACTCCACAGACTTCACATTCCCGGCCTCACCTACTCTTCCCCACATCCCTTGTTTCTAAACATTTGAGGAGTTCCAATAATAGTTTCCCCATTGTGCAGACAGGTTGAACCTTCTTTAGAGCTAAGTAATTAAAACCATATTCCCCTCCCAGCCAGTGTCAAACCCTTCACAAAACGCTCCACTAAAAGCTTGGTTTACTATATTCACTTTTGCCAAAGGGAAACCAGAGCTAGCGCTTTGCAAGCTTTGAGAAACCATATTGCTCTGAGAAACTCCAATGAAAAGCTTTTTTGCTAAGCTCTTTATTAGATTTTCCAGCACCTGTGGAGAAAACAGTGATCTAATGTAGCTAAGTCTTTTTGTACATTGGTGTGCTTTCACCTGCTGCTCTGAAAGATGAAGGAATTTTGTCTATTGTAAATTACTGAAGCAGTGGCTTCCAGACTGTTGTCTGTGGAACATTTGATGATCTGTGAAAAAATGGCTGGTCACATGGCGCTTGGTCTCCTCCTTGTTTCCAGCTGCTATTATGCAATAAAAAAATGCTGAAAATGCATATATAATTTCCTAATATTACTTGTTCATGTCAGTAATTGTACTTTCTACAGGGAAGTTATGTGATTGACAGTGTGAGTGAAGATGGCCCGTATAATCGCAATGGACGGTGTACATGAGAAACTCTATTAAGATGTGGCCCAACCGTATTAAAGAAACCCCTGCCATGAACAGCGAGGAGGAGGAGACAGGAAATGTGGGGTGGGGACAGGAGAGAGAGTCCAGCTATGCCATGAACCAGGACCTGTTTAAGACTCCACTGTAGTCTAGTCAGTGCTGCCAATGGATGAGCCAGATGAATGGGGAAGCAATCTTGGGTAAATGTTTGCACGTATTTTTCCTTACAACTTTTAAATGTGAAGATGGCACCCAGCCCACCCCCAAGTTAGCAGGACACTGGTATTGACTTTTCATTGTTTTACTAATACAATTAGAGGCAATGGTACAACAAACAGGTAGAGAAGCTTGGAAGCAGGCATGATGCTGCTAAGGTAGTTTATCTGCAATATCCACCATCTGCCAATAGATCAAAAAGTCATATTTGGTCATAATGTGCTAGGTAGTTTGAGATACGAAACTGGAGACTGGCTGAGGAAAAGGCTCCAGCTCCAAAGGTACTATCAGTTCCTTAGGGTATCCAAATTCTTGCGGTATTGATGGGTATCAAAGATGGGGTCAATTGAGAACCTGTGGAGGGCAGTTTTGGTACCAATGCAGCTGGTACCGAGCACTTGGCATGGGAGTGAGTTGACTCTGATCCCATCTGTACCATACGCCTTTGGTATTGTTGACTTTCATGTTACTGTTACCGAATGCTGTTCGGGAATGGGCTTAGAACTCTTCTCAACAGTGTCTCTGATGGTCTGGGTACAGGTACCCGAATTTGGTACCAAGTCTGTCATAGATGACTGGCTCCTCTTCACTGTTGCAGTACCAACATCACTCGGAGCCTGCATGGAACTCCTCTTGGGACCTGAGGTCTATGTAGCCTTCTTGTGCTTTGGCAACTTCTTGAGGATGTACTCCTTACCTCATTTTCCTTAGAGGAAGATGTTGTTGAGGACTTCAGTACCATAGATGTACTCGATCCTGCAGTATTCCCTAGATCTCTAGCGGTTGCCAGTGACAGATTTTGACATGGACAGGGCACTAGTGGTACTGGGAGATCAATGTAGAGGGGCTTCTCTGCCCCTGGATCCAAAGTGGATTGTAAAGCTTACGCCATCTTCCTCTTTTTCTGAGATCTACCCTTGAAGGACACGTAGATGTTGCACTTATTGGGGATACAAGTATCACCCAAACAGCGGAAGCACTTGGAATGCCAGTCACTGATTGGAATAACCTCATGGCAGGAAAGGTACTGGGGAGCCTGGCATTCCTGGGTCAAATAACAAAAAAAATCTCTAGAAAGGGAAGCTTGTAACAACTATCTAACTTTTTTTTATGGATAAAATTTGTTTTCTGTTTTCTTTTTAAGAAAAAGTGAAAAAAAAAAAGACCAAAGGGAACCTTTCCCAACAACTATAAACTCTATAAGGTAACTAACTATATGCTAACTAACATACATTGCTGAAATATTAGAGAGAACAGGTCTGCGGAGATTCTGTCTCAGGCTGAAGGTGGTTGAGAAGGAACTGTGGGCGGTTAGCCCATGCAGCCCTATATAGCCTCAGCGCGGGGCATGAGGATGTGTGGGGTGGATGTGTGGAGTGGACGGGCATCGCTACCAAAAATCTCTGATCAAAACTGCAGGCAACCCTGACGTGGAGCACCCACAGGGACACTACTCAAAGAACTCTGGTTCAGTGAAACACACAATGTATTAATTATAAATGTACAGCAAATACTGCATAATTCCCAAAGTCCCCAAAACTGCAGGGCCAGAGCACAGTCCAACACAACGGATTACTGTGGCTGACCATTAAAATGCTCTTTCAAGGCCTCCTTTAACGGTATAGCTCCACGCATAGCTCTTGTAATGGCCCTTGTGTCTGGCTGCTTACAGTCAGCAAACATAAGAACATAAAATTAAGAACAGAGAAGGGGAACAAAAATGATTAGGGGTATGAAACAGCTTCCATAGAAGAAGCAATTAAAAAGACAGACTATTCAGCTTGGTAAAGAAACGAGTGAAGGAGGACATGATAGAGGTCTATAAAATCATGAATGGTATGGAGAAAGTGAGTGTTATTTATCCCTTCACAGAACACATGAACCAGGGGACATCCAATGAAATTAATAGGCAGCAGGCTTAAAATTAACATAAGGAAGTATTTCTTCGCACAATGCACAGTCAACCTTTGAAACTGATTGCCAGGGGATGTTGTGAAGGCCAAAAGTATAACTGGGTTTAAAAAAAAAAAAGTATTACATAAGTTCATGGAAGATAGGTCCATCAATGGTTATCAGCCACGATGGTCAGGGCTGCAACCACATGGTATGGGTGTTTCTTAACTTCTGACTGCTAGAAGTTGGGACTAAACGATAGGGGACAGGTCACTCGATAAATTGCCGTGTTCTGTTCATTCCCTCTGAAGCATCTGGCATTGGCCACTATAGGAAGACAAGATACTGGGCTAGAGGAACCACTGGTCTGACCCAGTATGGTCATTCTTATAATTCAGTTTGCACCTGCTGAGTTGGTAATTGAATCCTTGCTTGGTGCTGTCAAGGTGGCTGGTGTATTGCTTCATCATCCAGGGGAACAAGAGATAGGCAGAGTCCACCAGAATCATTACTGGCATTTTAATATCGCAAGTGGTAATCTGCCCCCGTCTACTATGTATATTTACTAGTGAAGAGGAACTCCACTGGTCTGGAGTTTTGTGGATGTGTATGAAGGGGATTTATCACAGCCCTTAAAAGAAGCCCAATGGCAAAGCATTTTATGGAATGTTAAAAATGCCTCTGTGGATCTCAGGCTATGCTTGTTACAAAAATATGCTATTCAAAATGTCACAGAGCTTATGCAAGATGGGGGGCCTTGCCCTCTCCACATGCAATGGAACTGTCCAGCAATCAGGCAGCTGCGGAAATAGGTGGACACTAGAGTGAAAATACTGCTTGGCTTCAGCAACCAAACCTCAACTTAAAATTATATCCTAGGTTATATACCTACAATGCTGGGTTTAACTCCACCACAAAGACTGAAGGCCACAATGATTACCAAGTGCATGGTTTTACAAAAATGGAGGAGTAGGCTTGTGCCCAGAATAGAGTACTGGTATTTGGACCTATCTAAGTTAGCAGCAAAAAAGAATAGCTTATAGATGAAGAGAACAATTATATGAATTCAAAGAAATTTGGACCTCGTTTCTTGATACATTTGGATAAAGAATGCCAAGATAGCTCAAATAATGCCACTTCCACTTGACCTCTATGCTTTTTCTTTCCCTCTTCCCACACCCCATGCCCTCTTCCTTCTTTTTTGCATGTGTCTGTTTTTTGTTAACTCCCATCCTAACATATTATGGCTGTGTAATACTGTCTACACCTCTACCCTGCTATAACGCGACCCGATATAACATGTGTTCGCATATAGCGCGGTAGCAGTGGGGTTCCGGCAGCGCTTTAAAGGATCCGAGGCTCCGGCTGCTGCGGGGAGCCCCGGGCCATTTAAATCA